GCGCCCGCGGCGCATCCCTCCCGGCCCAGATCCCGGGTCCGTGCGAACGTCCTCCGCCCCCCGGCCCGGCCCCGGATTCTTCCCAGCGGGTGAGAGCGGCTCCCCGGCCCCAGTCCGGGCCCCCACAAAGGCGCATCGGGTTTTGAGGAGGAATGAGATCGAGAGGGCGCAGCTTGTGCTTGTGCTGCTGCTTGTGGCTTTCATCGGGTTCCGTGTGGGGAGAGCGTTTTTCCCCACCCCTCGAAGCTCTGCAAAAGCCGCCGCTGCACCAGCTCAGCCCCGCTGCCGCCGGCCTCGACGCGGAGACTTGCATGCAAACAAAAAGAAAAAGGGGAGGGGCCGGGGCAGAGCAGGAGCCCCCTGCGCCAGCCGGGGCGCGTGCCTCCTGCAGCCCTCCGCATTGGGGGTTCTATTAGCGGGATTCAGGCTTGATCCCTGGTTCTCCCCCCACCCCACCACCAGCACATACACACCCTCCCAGCCGTCACTTAAGTGAGGGCTTCGAGTTCACTCCCTTTGTCTGGATGCTCTCGGCACCACCGGCCCCCACCCCCACCTTTGCAACCTTGACGTTGACTCCGGCACGGGCTGGGGCGGCGGGTGAGTGCCGGCGCCCGCGCCGCCTGCTGCCCTCGCACCCGAGCCCGCAGGAGCGGGCGCCCGGGCCCCGCAGCCATGGCCGCGAGACGGATGCCCGCCGAGGGCGCAGGATACTCACCAGTGAATGGGGAAATACACAGACATGAAGTCCGAGGGGAGGCTGACCCACGCCCTTGTGATTTAAAAACGGCCACCGCGTCCCGAGTAAGGATGTCAGGGGCGCAGACAGGCGCGGCAGGCGGCGGAGTGCGGGCACTAGGCGTTCGCCGGTCCGCCTTCCGGAGACAGCCCCGCTGCCAGCTGCGTCGGCAGAGCACACGGAGCTCTCGGTTCCCCACCGAGCCCGCGGCCCCACAAAGAGCCCGGGAAGCTGTATTTATAGGGGCGGGGGCGGGTCTCGGCCGCGGGAGGCCCCGCCCCCCTCTCGCCCACTCCTGGAATAACGTCACCAAAATCATGAATGGCTTCGGCGCTCGCAGCTCCTGCCGGCGGCGGCTCGGGGGCGCGCTCGGCTCAGCTCCCCGAAGGCCGTGGTTTGCTTCCAGCCGGGCTCCCTCCCCAAGACTCACACACGCAGACACGCGCGTGGACACACGCGCGCGCGCGCACACACGCACGCACCAGTTCAATGTCAACGCTTCTTCCTGACGACAAACCCGCCCGCGTCCGCGGCCCCCTCCTTGCACACACCCCTGGGCACTTGGGGCGGAGGATCGTGGGCTTGAGGAGGGCGCTGGACCCGCTCCGGACGTGACCGCTCGGCGGCCGCGCTGCGCGGTAGGAGGGCGCCATCCCTCGACGCTGGATGCCTGGCGCCGGCGCCCTCCTCTGCACCTTCTCGCTGTCCCCAACCCCATAACTCGGGGCCCCTCTTCAGCGTTCATCCCCCAAACTAGGCCTCGCCCGTGACACCTCGATCGCTGCGCCCGAGGCGCGTCCCTTCCATCTCCGGCAAGCTGCGTGGAAATGGGAGCATCGCTAAAAAAAAGAGGCGGTGGAAAGCAGGGAGGGGGCGCGAAGCTGGGGAGACCCAGTGCCCGTGGGGGTTCGCGTTAGCTTGCAAGGGGCTGGTGTGCAGCCCGCAGATCCGCGGAGGATTTTATTTGTGTGAGAAAGGATGTGGTGTCGTCGTAGGGTTTTTCCATTGGACACCTACACAACGGCGGCGGGGGGCAGGGGGTGCGGGTGGGCACCGCAGAAGCACACCCCACTAGCCTTGGCTCCGGATCTGCTGCAAGGAGAAGAAACAAAGAACTTCGGCCAAACCCCTCCCACACTGCCCAGGAATTACAACTCCAGGGGTCTGTCCAGGTGGTCAGGCTTCTCAGCCCCCAGAGCCAGGGTGGGAGTCTGCCCCTCTGTGGCTGGAGCGCGTTGCTTCACACCTCTGCTCCACAAACTCCCGTAAAATGGCTTTATAACCCTGATCTATATGTGTACTGGGGATTGAGGAAGTGTGTGTGTGCAGAAGAGGAAGGGGGAGCTTTCAAAAACTTCGCAAAATTAAATGTACTTTGAAGTCAGCTCTTTCAACGGTAGTGAATGTATTGAATCCATATATACACTTAAAAGTGGAAATACATAAGCTTATCTCAGGTGAAAGATAATAGGATTAATGGTGAGGGCTTAACAGTGGCAGGACCATGAGGAGGCCCTCATAATTTTCATCAGCCCTCCCAAGCTAACCCAAATAAAAATAACCATGGGAATTAAATAAAAACAACTTTGCTATTTTGGGTCATTCATATATACAACCTGAGTAATAGTGTACTTCCTATGAAAACACAGCTTCAAGACAACCCCTCACTCCCTGCCTCCCCCCTCCCAGTTGTTCCTTCCAACCTGAGAAATTCAGGAGCTTCTGCTCACCCCCACCCCACCCCATAAGATAAATCAGAAATGGATTCATGCTGCCAAGAACCACCTCCATGCTCCTTCTCTGGAGATAGTGTACTGATGGAGGTCGATGCTTCTATGGACAGGTGCTAAGGGGAGATTCTCCAGTATGGGATTACCACTAACAGAGGGGGCTGTTTGTGCCTTTTGCATAGGGCGGAGAAACTTCTCAAAGGCTGGGTGGGACATGTTGTCATCTACATAGTCAAAGGAGAAGCCAGTGTTTGGAGAGCTTATTTCCACCCTGTGGCTGAGGTTGGCCCTGGGAGAGCAGGACTCGTGTCCTTTGCCATTTCTCCCCAGTAGCAATCCCTGGCAAGGCCTGGGATGAAAGACTGACTCACCATTTTTACATACCAGCAGCCCAGCATTACATATTTGTGATTATCGCTTGTGAAACTTTCTAGATTCCGAAAGCTACCCCCTACCCCCTGCAACACACAGACCCTTCAAGTGTCAAAATGGCCTCATTTTGAAGAGGGTGGGATGGAAGGTCTCCACCAGCAGATGTCCGGCCTTCTGAAAAATCCCCCACATTGGAGAACCTTGAGGTAACTCCCTGATGCCTGTTCTTGAGGAAACTTTATATTAATGCCCATTTTAAGTGAAAGTTACCTCTTGTCAGTAAGTTGGAGTGGAAAGCAAGCCTTGGGTTAGAACCCCAAATCTACACTTTCTGTTTCCCCTCTGAAACCATGGTGACACATTCACTCATATGAAAATATGGGAGGCATGGGCCTAAACTTTGGTGTCACTATAACAACTACGCCATTTCTCAGTCATAATACTTTATGTAGTGCCTTGCCGTTTTTTAAAGCATTTTCATGATCTCGGCTTTCAAAAGAATGTAATAAGATTACCACAGCACAATATACAGTCCCTAGCCTAGAGTGTGCAAACCGAGTCTGAAATTAGGGCACTTGCCGAAGATCACACAGCTACTCTGTTACATTGCTCTGATCATATCTGTAAAGACACAGGGTATCTGAACATGCAGACTGACCACGGCTTCCCAATATCTTATGAGATAGGTTTCTATCCCTACTGCCTTCAAATAAAGAAACAGAAACACCAGTGAATGAAGTTAACATGGAGGCCCAGAATCTTCGGGCTGAAAGAGAACTTCCAAATCACCGAGTCCAGTCTCCTCATTTTACAGGTGAGAAGACACCTAAGAGATTAAATGGCACGTCCAAGGCTATTAAATGGTGTAGATGGAACCTGAACGCAGGCCTTCAGACCACTGGTCAAATGTTCTTTCCACTACAACGCTACATCTCTGCCAAGAAGTCAGTAGCAGAAGTCAAACACACGATCTGGACTCTCCCAACCCCGTCAGCCCACCACTGGCATTTCCTGAGCATCTCCTATGTGCCGCTCAGTGAACTGAACAGCCCTCTGCCACCTTTGTCTTCAGGGACTCAAGAGTCGAATTGCAATTCTGCTTCAGTGAAAATCCAAGTGTAATCAGAACTGCCTTGCTTTCCAACAGTGCCTAAATCCAGTTTCCCAGCTCCTTTTCTCTCGCACCTCAAATAAGAATTAAAAAAAGAATAAAGGTACTGACTTAGCCATGGCATCAATGTGCAGGTATGCAGGCCATGTAGCTAATTACTCATTGAGTAAAAAAGTCTCCATCTAAATTCCTTTAGCAATGTATTTCCATGCTTGATCTCCCTCCTGCCTTGCAAAAAGACAGTACTGCTTTTAATCTGCCTTGTAGTGGTGAAGCTCGTGCTTTGTTCAGCTCTAAGGGACTTCACAAAGTAGATGTTGGCTAAGGTTCACTTGTGTCTGCTAGCATGTTTACGCCTCACGACGACTTTAAGACATAGGCACTATTATCCCATTTGTCAGATGGAGAAAGAGAGGCTCAGAGAGGTCAAATAACTGGGCCATGGCCACACAGTTCTCAAATGGCTGAACCAGAATTTGACTCTGGGCCTTGTTGGTTCTAAAGTCTATGTTTTCCCCCCGATACTACACTTATCCTGGCCCTTGTGGCTTTATTTGTTTTAACAGATAAGCTACAACTGAATATAAAATGTTAGTTCCGGGAGCGCCTGGGTGGCTCAGTCGGTTAAGCACCCAACTCTTGATTGGGCTCAGGTCATGATCTCAGGGTTGTGAGATTGAGCCCCACCCCCCATTCCACCCCAGCCCCACCCCCGTGTTGTCATCATCATCATAATCATCATCACTGGGCTCCATGCTCAGCAAGGAGTCTGCTTCTCTCCCTCTCCCTCCTCCCCTCTCCCTGCTCACTCTCTCTCTCTCTCAAATAAATAAATCTTTTTTAAAAATGTTAGTTCCAATAGCAAAGATCAGGACTACTAGAGTCCATCCAGTGGGGTAGGGCTGGCAGAATAAATAAATTTCCCATCCTGGGGATCTGGGAGCTTCTTAAAGATATCAGTCAAAGGCTTAGGGTTTAAAAAAAAAAAAAACTGAGTAGAAGAAGCGGAGTTTCTAGCCAATTTTTTCAGTGAAACTCATTTGAGTACATAAAAAATCTGAAAGGCAAGAATGTGTGTGGGTTGATGTGAGGATGAAATGAGATAGTGTTATGAAAACACTTGGTAAGCTGGAAAGCACTGAGCAGACGCAGGGCTTGTTTTTAAGGTGTTTTGGGGGAAAAGATGGGGTTCAGCAGAGTTGCTTGCATCTGCTTTGGTTTTCCACTCATTTCAGGCAAGGACTGCCCCATTTTCCCCTGGAGTCCCTTGACTGAAGTTTCCAGCACTGTGGGAAGAGGGGGAGCAGTCATGAGAGGCAAGTAGTGAAGCTCTGCCCAGCGGGTGCTGCTGTGGTCCCAGCGTCCCCACATCTCCCCTCACCCCCTACGAGTTCCTCCAGTCTTTGGTGCCTCTCAGCAAGTGTCCAGCCGGGTTCTAGACACATGATGAACGCCCGACCTGAGTGTGGGCATGTTTTCCCACATCAGCCATCAGGAAACTAGTCCTCACACGAAACCACCAAACCCACCAGACAAAATCCTCTAGCCTTTGACTTACTTTGCTGTAAGTTCTCAGGCACGTTGCATGGCTTCTCTGTGTCCCAGACTCCTAAAGCAGTAAAGCGGGCAATAGGAATCTTTTGAGCTCTCAGAACTCTAATAAGGCTAAGAGAAATTGCTTCTATAAATGCTCGAGGGGAAAGTGCTTTGCATCCTATCATCCAGGCTCTGAGGCCCGACATAAAGCCTGTGGGTACTCTTGCCCTGTGCCATCTTAGGAGGGGCCTCCTTTTTTCCACCCAGAACCCACTCACCCCCCAAAAGAAGTCTGGGACCTGGCAGCCCACAAATCCTTGCTTTCCCAAATATCAAAGAGATTCAGCCTGGCTTTTTCTTTATTTCTACCAAGGGGCCTTTGAACCAAAGGGATTTTTAGAGAACGAAAACTCTATGGAATCCTTAGGGTCCAGGCTCTTGAAAGAAAACACCAAAACTGGAACCAGTTCAAGGCTCTCATGTCCAATTAAGGAAATACTCACATTCCTATCCTAGCTCGCCTCCAGCATGCTTTCTCTCTTTCCACATCTACACAGGAATGCACTTTAACAGCCAGAAGAGAGGTTCCTATCACCAGGACTCGTATCATATAGCACGGGGCTCCTCGGGGTGGGCTCCAGCAGGCTGACACCTTCCCTGAATTAGACAAAGAACACCCACCATGGAACAATCCAAATTCCCTTCATACCTCTCGGCTCCCCCTCCCCCCACTCCCCTATTTCACCCACAGCTCTGGACCAGAGGAACTCTGTCATACCTGTGGGTTATGAAAAAAGAGGAAAACACAATAGTTTCTTGTGAAGAAAGGCACTTTCAGTTTTCTTTTCAAGTACACAGGATGTCGCCCTGCTTCCTCCAGGGGCAGCTGCGTCCCTCCTGGCTTCATCCCCAGGGCTCCTTGGAGGAGGAGTGAGCAGTGAATTATGCACCAGGGGGCAGCTCCTTCGGACGGCCTCTGCCAACTGTAATCCGAGCTCACACCAGCTCGCTGGAGTCCCAAGTGTGCTTCACACCCACATGGTGCCCAGCCTTGGGATCAGATGGCTGGGTCCTTATTACACTTTCCTGCCCTTTCAGCAACAATTCCACCAGGTTCTGGGCACTGACTGTGGGCCAGATTGGGGTGGCTCCAAGGAATCACTTGAGGGGAACTTTAGCTCTCCTAAATCCATCACCCCCAAAGCCATCCCAAATAAACATACTCCAAGAGATAACAGTGTGTCTACCGGGCCAACAGAGCTTTAGGATAAATTCCCTAAATTGCTTTAGTGATCCCTTACACAATCCTAAGGCTGAGTAAAAATAGCACACATGCTATGCATACAAGTTTTGCGTATGAGTTTGCATATAAGACCCCTCGCCTCTGGGACTCCTGGGTGCCTCAGTCGGTTAAGCATCTGCCTTCGGCTCAGGTCATGATCCCAGGGTCCTGGGACAGAGCCCCACATCTGGCTCCTTGCTCTGCGGGGAGCCTGCTTCTCCCTCTGCCTGCCACTCCCCCTGCTTGTGCTCTCTGACAAGTAAATAACTAAAATATGTAAAAAAAAAAAAAAAGAAAGAAAGAAAAAGAAAAAGAAAAAAGACCCCTTGCCTCTGCCTTTCCTACCAGATTTGCTCTCCTGAGTTCCTTGTATAAAGAAATCAAGGGCTGCCTCTGGGGCTTGGCATGGGGTCCTTCACTAAGGAGATTGGGAGGACCAGACACCAGTCCCTTCTAAGACCATATGATAACCACTGCAGTAAAGACATGTGACCATGGTGGGTGGTGTGATTACTCTTGTCTTGGGGAGAGGGGTGCTGACTACCAGAATATAAGCTCCATAAGGGTAAGGACTGAGTCTGTTTTGTTTACTGCTGGACTTCATCACCTGGAAGAGTGCCTTGCACATAGTAGGCACTCAAAAAACATTTGTTGAAGGAATGAATGAATGAATGAATGGTATCAAGAAAAGCTAAAAAGAAAGGATGCCATTAAGCTGGCCTCGAAGGATGGGTAGAAGCCAGAGAAGGGCAATCCTTACTACAAGAACAGCAAAAGTAAAGGCTCAGGAGTGAGAAAATGCCAGGGGTGTGCTGGAAACGAGGAGTGAGCAGAAGAATCTTGATCTTGGGAGGGAGCACTGGAGAACCCCACAACTCCAAGTTTACAAGTTGGATGGAATGCCTATTTGTTAGTAAAGGTCCTTGTACTCCACAGAACGGATTGTGCACAGAATTTCTAGCAGGAAGAAAAAGGCAGTCACTTCTGTCGGCCAAACCCATCCAGTTTCCCTCACTTCTACATCATTTGAGTGAATATCAGCATTTCTTTTCCAGTTAGGTGGCACCCTAGCAGAAGTGTTAAGTAGGTCAAATTGAGCTGATGTGAACTGTGTCTTCTGAGACTTCCCCTTTCCACTCTCTTTCATTTCACACCTCTCTCTGACCTGCCCACTGATCTCAAGAAACCCATGCTCCCTTCATCACAGCCTTGCAAGCTCCAAAACCACGCTTTTCTTTTCCCTGAGAGTGTCCATCCTTCAGCTCCCTAATCCCAGGCAGCTGCCAGGCAAGCACACTTGATTTGATGCAGAAATTCACACTATGGTGAGAAAGACATGCTCGCGGTGCATCCGTGGTCTCCATCCAACAGTAGGCATTTCAGGCAGGGTAAGTGGGTGAGAAGAGAGAGCTCTGTGGTCACAGAGGCTGATGATGGTTGGTGGCAGAAGTCTGAGGGGAAACCATGCCATGGTAAGACAGAGCAAGAAGTGAACCCCTCAGAAGGGTGGGGGTGGCTGCAACCAGTGGGCTTGCCTTCTGGAGGGATCTGATTGGAATCCTGGCCCCCAGCTGTAATCTGGCAACAGCACTTGAGTGGATTAAGTCCACTGGTCAATGGGAGTGGGGGGAAGGGTCTTGGCAGACCCTTTTCACTAAGAAGGTACAGAGCTTTGGACTGAAAGGGACTCCTCTGAGTGGGCCCCAGGCACCCGGTGCACCTGCCCAGGCCCAGGCCAGGCCCGGGAGCCCAGGTGTGCCCCAGGAGAGAGGTCCTGCACCAGCCTGAGCCAAGCCGATGACAAGCCATGATAGTGAGAAAGGCCATATGCCTTTCCACGTGCTTAATGAGGCCCTCAGGGCAGCCGAGGCTCCCATGGAGGGCTTCTAAGCCTAGTGAGCCCACCGAGTGGTAGAGTATGGCTTCAGGCAGGAGCACCGTCCGCTACTGGGGCAGTGGGGCGGCTGGGTGCTTCTGAAGCCTGCAGCACCGCAGAACCTTGCCCTGCACTCCCCACCTGCCCTCTGAGTGGGCCCCTGTCTACATCTCCTACCTTTTCATCCAGGCGTCCTCTTAGGAAACAAAAACCAGAAAAGTGGAAGGAGATTCTCCTGAGGCTGCCGTCTAGCTTTATGCTTTAGTGCCCCTGATGTTACTAATGAAAAAAGCTAGCATTATGTGCACTTGAGTCTTTCTGGAGCTTGGGGGCTGTTCCTTGCTCTATAACCACCTGCTCTTTTGAATTTCGGAGTGCTCGGAGAGTGCGCCAATGAGAGCTCCCACCCCAGACAGGGTCCCCTGCACACCCACTCCCCAGGGCCATTCTCATTTTATCGCCTCCCTCTGCAGGACGTAATCTTCCACAATGCTTACAAATTTCTCAATTTAAAAAGAAGAAAATACAAGGGGCACCTGGGTGGCTCAGTTGGTCAAAAAGAAGAAAATATAAAGACTAATGAATTACATTCCAGATTATGATGTTGCCTGAGATTCTTAACAAGAGAATGAACAGGTCTCTTTACTTGGCCTCACTCTACTCATCTGTAAAATGGGCCTGATGTTCCCCGGCCTCAGCTCACTGCACAGGAAGGATGCAAGAATGGCAAGCATTCAGCTGCCTTGGCTGAGAAAAGTGAGGTATTAAATCATCCTCCATTGGATCTGCTTGAAAATGAATAGTAAAAAGAAGGGAAAGTGAAACTCCGGTTGATTACTTCGTTTTGTTGCTTGTTAACAGGAAAACATAGCAAGGGCAGCAACCTTCTCTTGGGTTTCTTTTTTTTTTTTTTAAGATTTTATTTATTTATTTGACAGAGAGACACACAGCGAGAGAGGGAACACAAGCAGGGGGAGTGGGAGAGGGAGAAGCAGGCTTCCCGCTGAGCAGGGAGCCCGATGCGGGGCTCGATCCCAGGACCCTGGGATCATGACCTGAGCCGAAGGCAGATGCTTAACGACTGAGCCACCCAGGCGCCCCCCCCTTTTTTTTTTTTTTAAAGATTTTATTTATTTATTTGACAGAGAGACACAGTGAGAGAGGGAACACAAGCAGGGGGAGTGGGAGAGGGAGAAGCAGGCTTCCCGCTGATCAGGGAGCCCGATGCGGGGCTCGATCCCAGGACCCTGGGATCATGACCTGAGCCGAAGGCAGACGCTTAACGATTGAGCCACCCAGGGCACCCCTTCTCTTGGGTTTCTGAGAAAGCAGGGCCAAGCCAGTTCTCTTAGAAGAGAAGGATGCCAAATCTAATAGTTGATATCCTGTCTCTCCCTCTTTCCAGCGCTTTCTTGGAGTATTTGCACTGGCTCTCGCACCTGCCGACACCCTCGCTAGAAGCACACAGGTGTGTGAGCCACGCTTTCCCGTGGCAGCCCAGGGAGGTTATACCTGACTTCGCAGGCACGGATACGGTCTCCCACATGCACAGCCTGCCCATCCACATGCGGGGACGTGGGCATTTTAAAGCTATTTGTATTACAGAGTATTTCTCAATACCCTGGTACCGAGTGCCAGCAAATCACTCAGCTCTTCTGTCCTTGGGGCTCTGTGGGTCCGCACAAGCACCCATGCATCTCAGCCGCTGAACGAGGGCTCTGTCTTCTGGGTCCAAGGTAAGGAAATAACGCTGACCCGAACCCATGTAGAAACAGAAACTTCTCATCCAGTTCACATTGTTTTGCCACCTTTGTTTGTGTTTGGGTATTTGTCACAAGCAGCAAGGAACTCCTCCCAGTGACTTCAGGGGAAACAGGTGTGAGGGACTGGTGTGATTCCAGCATCTTCCTCCTACAGAGCAATGACGGGGAGCAGAGGCGCGCATCACAGGGAAAGGAGCCAGCATCGGGAATAGCCATCTGACAGTCGGGAAGGAGGCGTGCACTGCAGAGGGAGGTCTGCAGGGGGCTGCTTCCCTGGCCCGAGCGGGAGGCGGCACTCAGGGGAGGGGCAGGGGACAGTGGGAGGCGGTGCAGAGGTCGAGCCTGCAGAACTCAGTCCTTGCTTGGATGTGGGAGCGGAAGAGAAAGGGAACTGGAGAAGCCTTGCATTTCTTGAGCCTGAGGGACTGCAAAGCTGGCACCACCTGCAAAGTGCAGAAGGGGCTGTTCTGGGGGGAAGCGGGTCCTGCCTTTTAGGGGGCGGGTTTCCCATGGGAAGACGGCCCGAGTTGTAGCTATGGCTACACATGCTGTCCTAGCGACCACACCGGTTGTTTCTCTCACTCTTCGGTCCGCGGTGGCCAAGGCTTCTGTTCCGAAGGTCAGGCGCCTGGCCATTCTGGGTGCCCTGGGTGCCTGGATGCTGTTGCCAGATGGGTTCTTCAGGGGCAGATGTGGAGACAGGGCTTGGGACCAACACCCAGGAAAGGCAGGAGAAGAAGCAGGAGGGGGCCCAGAAGGAGGTCTCACGGAGAGGCAGGCTCCCCAAATCTCGGCCAGTTCTATGGGGAGCTGTGGAGGAAATATTACCTGTCGGAGTGGCCTGTGTTGGGACAAAACTCCGGGGTCTGCCTTCCCCTGCACTGCTCAGTCCTCAGTGTGGGCTGTCCTGGGGAAGGACATGGTCTTGGGAGAGGTGGCTCTCTTTGGCTGGTGCCAACCATAAAGGAGCTGAC